TTGTGATTTTTACACTGAGCCTCCATTACTTCAAATGAATTTAGAGCAGTATTTTAAAGTTTTTCTTTAAAATATAGTCATTGAGGGGCACCTGGGTGGCTCAGTGGGTTAAAGCCTCTGCCTTCGGCTCAGGTTGTGATCCCAGGGTCCTGGGATCGAGCCCCACATCGGGCTCCCTGCTCTGTGGGGAGTCTGCTTCCTCCTCTCTCTCTGCCTGCCTCTCTGCCTATTTGTGATCTCTGTCAAATAAATAAATAAAATATTAAAAAAAAAATAAAATAAAATATAGTCATTGAGATTGCACCTATAATTCATGAAATTATCAATTAAGGACTGCATGACTTACACAGAAAAAAATCAGAATTTCACTCAGGTAAATCTCTAAAACACTACAAATGTTCTTTTTATAGATTTTGAAGATTTCCTGTTAAGTTTAAGGAAATATTATAGGGCAAGAAAAAGTAACGAAAAGAGAAAGAAAAATAAAACAGTTCAGAGAGTAAGAAAGAAACAAGTATTAAAATTAAAAAAATAATAAAAAATAAAAAAGGAAGGATGACCAAGAGTTCAAAGGGCAGAGTCAAGAGTCACAGAGAATTTTTTCCTAAGGCCTTGAGACCTTGCCCAGTAGGACAGACAGTAACTCTTTTTTGCTTTGCTTTCCATCTCCTCTACTCCTCCCTCTTTGAATGGCAATGCCTGTGATTTTTATCCCCTTCCTGGCCTGTCTTACCATCCTATGTTGGGAATGTTGAGTAGGTAGTTCCATAAATAGAGGAAGAACTGTGGTTAAGAACTATGTTAATGAGTTAAATCTTAGAACCTCATCCTCACCTAACTTAGAGAATTTCAATAATGAGATTTTGGACTTGGAGCTGATGAAATGTTTACATTGAGATGAGGTTGGCTCACAGACTGGCCCCTGGACACGGAGGGCAAGGAGAGGCTAGAGAAAGAGGCAGGTTGCTGCAGATTGGTAGATGGCAGGTTTAATTTGCAAGGGAACTTAGGTATGAGGCTTGTCTTGGGGGATCACAAGATGATTGGATCTCTACACTGGCAGGCCATGATCTTAAAGTTTATATAGAAGACTTTACTGGGGGTGCCTGGGTGGCTCAGTTGTTAAGTGTCTGCCTTTGGTTCAGGCCCTGATCCCCAGGTCCTGGGATTGAGCCCCGCATCGGACTCCCTGCTTAGGGGAGAGCCTGCTTCTCCCTCTCCCTCTGCTTGCCACTCCCCCTGCTTGTGCTCTCTCTCTCTGTCAAATAAATAAATAAAATTTAAAAAAGGAAGAAGAAGCCTTTACTGGTTCAGTCTCATATTTTAGTCCAGAAGTTCTCAGCAACACCTTTCTCTCTCAAGGCAGTGTCCTTTAAGCAGCTCCCACTTGGTAGGCAGAGCATACATTCCAAGGCCAGGGGAGAGAGTGCAGAGCCTTTGATTGCCTGGGTCCAGTTATCAGATCAACCAGTGGTCATGTCCTCTTAGTGACCTCCTTTAACAGATAACTCTGAATTTTGAGTTGATACTGGAATGAAATGAGATCCTTGGGGTTGTTGGGAGATAGCAAATAATTTTTCATTTGGGAGAACATGAGTGGTTAGCAGCCAGAAGTTGGACTTCCTATACAACCCATACCCTTGCATAATGCCCTTCTGATGAAGTATCCACCCATGATTATGCCATGCTGTTTTGCACGAGTGAGCTTTAAAAAGGGATATTATCCATGGTGGGTCTGACTTAATTATGTGAATGGGGGAGGGGCAGAAATGAAGGGATTGGATCTTGAAAGCCAGTTGGAAATATTTGGTGACATTATAGAAGTGCTTAGGCTCTGACCATTAGTGCATATTCCTGGGCATACACATAACTGCCCTGATGTCTCTACCATCAAACTGGGATCCCTGGGCAGAACACCCTATGTGCCCTCTGCTTCCCCCATCAGCCCGGGGGCTCCCGGCTCCAGGTAAATGAGGTCTACTGACTTCCCTAGCTATCCAAGCAGGCCGCAGGGCGGACTAGAAAGGGGGCATTTCTTACCGCGGGAGGCGGTTTCCCAGCGGCCCCCTCAGCCTCGCGCCATGCGGTCCACACATCCGGGAGACGGTCGTGCACTGGCCGGATGGCAAGCGTCCGAGCCAAGGGCTCAGGCCCAGGCTGGCAGGGGGCCTGCGTGCTGGCCACAGCCCTGCTCTGGCTACGCCCACTGCTGTTGCACGCTGAGCCCAACCGAACCACTGCAGATGGTGAGTGAGCAGGCGAAGGGCATCAGGCTCGCACACTTCTCAAGTGACCCTCCCAAACCCCACCAAGCCAGGAAGACCTTTACCTGGCTAAGTGGGGCTCTAGAGTCTCTGGGTCCCTGGTGGGTCCTTCCCTGGGTCAGGGAGGGCCGAGGCTGAGAAGACCAGGCTCTTTCCCTCAGGGCCTCAAGCATCTTCAGTTCAAGGGCAGAGGTCTTTCACTAATCTGTCATTGTGGCCCCCAGGATCTCTTCATTTTAAGAACGGGAGTGCAGTGTTTCAGAAGGAGAATTATCAAGCAGAATGTGTTCCATCAGTTTCCCTAGAATATTAGGCTGAGGAGGGAAGGATGCAACCACTTAATCGTCAAGAGCCTGGAGCAAACAGCATCCCTCAGAAGTCTTCAGTTTTGAGGACTTCAAACAGTGGTGTGCTAGTTAAGTTAAATAAGGTCTGGGGAAGGGCCTGGGGCAGCACCACCTCCGGGACCTCTGTACCCCAGTAAGTGCGGATGTGCACCTCTGCAGCTGCCTGCTTCCCTGCCCTTTGATGACTGCCCCCCTTTTCTTACCCAGACTCAGAGACTTCTTCCTTAGCGCTACTGTCACCAACAAAGCCAGGTAGCCCTTTGTTACTTGAGCCATGTCATTTCACCCTGGGCCTTGGATTTCCCAGCTGGAAAGTGAGAAGGGTCCATGGTGGCCCTGAGCCTGTTGATGCTAACATTTGGAGACACCGAGGCTGGCATCCATAATACACGTGCTTCACGGGTAGGATTGTCTCCACAGTGTGTGGGAAGCCAACAGTAAGTGGGAAGATCTTTGGTGGACAGAATGCACCTGATCTACGGTGGCCATGGCAGGCCAGTCTGCTCTACCTTGGCAAGCACATCTGCGGAGCTGCCCTCATAGATGCCTACTGGGTTATCTCAGCTGCCCACTGCTTCCAAAAGTATGTGCTCCCAATGGGCTCAGCTGCCAGGGTGGGACTGGGGAGGGAGCACAAGATGGGCAGAACAGAAGGGGTTGAAAAGTGTCTCAACCCTTTATCCCTAGGGAAAGTCTGTTGCCTCTGCCTTTGAGCCAGCAGTCCCCTCTACTTTGAGTGCCATCCCTACTCACCACCTGAGTCCAGTCTCCTGACTGTCTGAGTTCACATCTCCCAGGACAAAGGCCCTTTACCTCATCTCTCCCTCTGGGGATATTCTCATCTGCCCCCCTCCTCACACTTTGGTAATACTTGCCAAGATGGCATGGTTATTTCAGCTACATGTACATTATTTTTAAATAGCTAAATGGAAATTAACTCTAATTGTGATGATCAGCACTGGAAAACAGACTTTAATTCCAAAGGAACTGCCTCCAGCCCACTCTTTGTCTTCCTTAAACTTCAGGATTCTAAGTCCTGTTCTCACTCAAGGTAGACTCTGGTTTCTGAATCTTGTCCAGCTCTAGACAGTCCAACAAGATCTCAGTGGGTTTCATTTTCCTCTTATGCAGATGGTAATGGATGTGTAGTGTCCCTGGCTAAACATATGGCACAGGCTTTAGGCTTCAAGTCACAACAGTGGCTTCAGAACCCTCACTTCCCAGGCCTGAGGGAGCATCAGTCAGGCCCTGGACAAAATGAGAAATTATTCTGTACTCTTCCAGTCAGACCATTCAAAGGTCATCATCAGCACAACTGTCAGAGATCCCTAGGTCCTAACCACCCACCATTCTAGCACATTTCTCTCTGGAGGTATCCACTGCTTATTTAACCAGTACCCAGAAATTCCTGTCATGCTGTAGAACTATGTGCCTAAGAGATCCTGTAGTCATCATTGCCCCTATAGGCCAGAGTGAGGCATGAAGCAAATGGTCTCTGTCCTGGGAGACAGGATGCAGACAGTTAGGAGAGTGCGCAGCTCCTCAAGTGTATCCTGAACTTACTCTGTGCCCAGAGGGAGCAGGGAGAACATCATGCTCCAAGTCAGAGGAGGTCAGAGCTATCGGCATCAAATAGATTTGAGACCCCACTTGGGTTCTGTTCATTGATTCAACACCCATGGGTGCCAGGCCCCATCTGAGGCTCCCTGTGGAGGATGTGGAGATGCAGACCTTGACGTTTCTAATACTATCAGGAAAGTGAGACATAAACCCAACTACTTTGATGCAGAATGGAGAGGCCGGAATATACAAGAGAATGGATTCTGAGCCAGTATCAGGGGAAATGCCATGCATCCCATCAGAATAGGGTCTTGGAACTAAAGAGGCCTTATGGGAGGAGAGTATAGACATGTGGAATCTGGGCAAAGTAGCAGCACAAACAGGCCATTTGTGTTGGAAAGTTGCTCATGTTCCAGAAACAAGGAGTTCAGTTACATGAGTTCCCCTATTTGCTCCACACAGACTCACTGAATGCCTGTCTCCAGATGGGGACAGGCTTGAAGAAGTATGTGTATGTGAAGACAGGGAAGAGGGAATGGATCATGGCTTGAGAAATGGGGTCTTTGAAAACTACTTCAAGACATGGGATGTTCCAAGTATTCTGATCAGAGCTGGGAATGAGCCAAGTATTCTTTACTCTAAAATGAAGAGGTATAGTTTTATGTGCTCTGCTCTTTCTTTCCAGCACTGAGATTTTCTGCTCCTTTGATTTGGGGACATACAGGGGAAGCCATCAAACACTTTCAAAGGACAGATGTTCTGAGGTTACAGACAGGCATCCAACCCAACTGGCAAGATTATTAGGGAGGAGAGAGCTACCTCTGGAAAAATGGTGGTGTCTGGTTGCTTACAAGGGTCGAGGGAGTTGGGGGTTAGACAGTCAGGTGAGGGTACAAGGGTGCAGCACACAGAGGAGACAGGTGATAATGCAGTTTCTCACAACAGGTCCCATGAACCATCTGACTACCGGATCCTGCTCGGGTACCATCGGCTCCAACATCCCACTGAGCATAGCCGGCAGATGACAGTGTATCGACTCATTGTTCACAATGAATTTAACAAACACTACTTCATGGGCAGTGACATCGCCCTGTTGCAACTGCATCTGTCTGTGAACTTTACATCCCACATTCTTCCTGCCTGCCTCCCAGGGCCAACCACGAAGCTACCCCTTCACAGCAGCTGCTGGATAACAGGCTGGGGAATGATCACTGAGGGTGGTGAGTAGGGGTAGGACAGGCAGGGGGGCAAAGGCCAAGAAGGAGGGTTGTAGGGCCCTTTCAGCCCTGATATCATGTCCATTTCAAGTTTCAAGTTTTCTTCTGCCCATGGATCAAAAAGTCTGAGTATCTGTAACTTTCAGAATCAGGAACTTGGGCTCTTTGACTCCAAGCCATTCAGGATTCCACTCAGACTCCAAGGTTCTGCTTGGGACCATGTCAATCTCCTCCAAGGCTTCACCAAACACCTCTTAGGCTTCCCTTGCCATGGGAGGTTCTTGGAGCAGCAGTAGGGAAATCAAAGCAGGCCTGCTTGCTGGCCCGGGAGGCGAAGTTGGGGTGTTTATAGCTTAAGGATATTTTCCTCTGTAACTCTCACATCCCCTTATCCATTAACTCAAGTAAAACTCCCATTTTGCCAGCTTGCTGGCTTGTATATTTTTAGGGTGACACTGGAGAAATGGTGGTCCTTTTTACACAATGGTGAATACTTTTGACTTAGAAAATATAATGTAGAGTGAAGAAACTGGAATGTAGATTTGGTATGATTTGTAGGGTTATAGGTTTGCCAGGATCTGGCTGAGTGTCTCAGTGGGGACATTTGGGGCGAGACTTGTTTTTCTGTGCTTCTGGCCACTAAATGTCAGTCCCAGTCTCTAGACATATGAACAGCCAACTCTCCAGCATTTCCAGAGACACCCTTCTGGGATGGACTATCACTCAAGAAGAACCACTGGCAGAGCAAGGAGGATTCTGCAGGATAGGTCAGAGGGTAGGAATTGGGGCATGAGGGGATGTCACAGGCTAGAGCAGGAAAGAAGGAGCAGACGGAGTCTACAGTTCTCCTTCCTCCACACCCTCCCCTGATTACAGCTGCTGGGCCTGGGCGGCCCCCAAGAACATGTGAGGGCTGCATATGGCAAGCACACCCTAGGAGGGAGCTGTCATTGTGACACTGTGCTGCCCCATGCAAACACCAGTCAGATCTGTGAGCAGTGTGTGGAAATAGAATCCACATGGGAAACATCCACAGACCAGTTGCTCCTTGAGGCTGGGCCGTGTCTTATTGGTCATACTACCTCAATCCACCTGGCATCTAGTGGGCACATCAGTGCAACTGAGCCTGGACTCCCAGCTTCCACATTCTGTGCTTCTATTTCTAGCTCTGCATAGCTGCCACATTAATTACTTTGAAAACATAAGGAGACCCTTTGGTGGTTTCCCAGTGTGCTTAGAATGAAATCTGAAATCCACATTTCAGATGGTGAGGAGACCCTGCTTGCTCTAGACCCTGCTATGACCTTGCCTCATCTTTTACAATCCGCACTCCCACCCCATTGCAGCCACATATGCCTCCCTCCTGGCCCCTATTGCAGGCCCCTCATTTGCTCTTTTGTCTGTCTTGAACATCTTGTCCCCTCATCTTTGCAAGTCCTCTGAGAGACTTCCCCAATCCTGTCAGCTAGAATTGGCAGCTTGTTTCAGAGGGAGCTAGCCTTCCTTCCAGGCTCCACCCCATATTTGTCCTCTCCCCGACCCAAACTCTGCTGCAGATTTCCTGGCTCCACCATTCCAGCTGCAAGAAGGAGAAGTTGGCATTATTGACAGTGAGGTCTGTAAAATGTATTTCCAATTGCCAGACTCCAGCAGCAGTGAATATTCTATACACGAGGATATGTTTTGTGCTGGGGACCTCATGACAGGAAAGTCCATCTGCCAAGTAAGTGGGAACTCAGACTGCCTGTCTTCTCCTGTGTTGTTTGTCCCCTTCTGTTTTCTCTGAACCTGGTCCTAGCCCCTGGCTTCTTCCTCCTAAGCCCACCCTAGCCTGAAGTGTCAGAGCTGAAAGTCAGAAGCCCCCAAAGAGTACTAGTTAATACCATACATGTCTTCTTTAAAAATAAATTATTGAAGTATATAGCATACATAGAAAAGGGTATAATTTACAAATGTGTTGTTTGATATATTTTTAGAAATTGGCATGCTCATGTAAACTGTTACCCAAAGAGTCCTCCTCATACCACCTTTCTGTCACTAACTTCTTGAGAGTAGCTTTGGCTTCCGAAGCACTGTGGATTAGTGTTGACACTTACATACATGGAATTATATAGAATACATCTTCATCTGGTCTCTTCCAGGCAATATCATGTTTGAAAGATTTATTCATCTTAGGTGTGGTTTACATTGTTCATTTACTGCCTATACCCACTGTGTGAATATACTGTCATTTTATCCATCCATTCTAGTCTTGGTGGCATTTGGATAGCTTCCACTTGAAACCATTACAGATAGATTTGCTATGAACACCCTAGTGCATATGTTTTAGTGCACATGGGTTCATATTTGGGTTGGGTGTAACCCTGGGAGTAGAATTACTGTGCCATAAGCAAGCTTCATCTCTCATAGACACTGAAAAGCAGGTTTCTAACCTGCTTGGCACCAATTTGCACTTCCACCAACAGTGGCTGAGAGCTGTTCTTACTCCATGTTGTCTCTGGTACTTCATATTGCCCGCCATTTTCAATTTAACAATTACATGTGATTTTTATTTTATTTTATTTTATTTATTTTATTTCTCTGGTGAATGATGGAGATGAGTGCTTTTTCATCTATATATTACCTCTTTTAAAGAGTATCTATTCAAGATTTTTGCCATTATTTCTATGGGGTTGTGTGCCTTTCCTACTGAATTGTAGGACCTGAGAATGTTATTGGATATGTGTTAAGAATGTATTCTGCTGTGGAATCCTTCTCTTTTATGGTAGGGAAACTGAGACACAGAGAGGGAAGTGGATAGCCCAAGGTGAGGTAGCATGACCATAGCAAACCTAGAAAACCATTGCTTTCCTCTGGAGCTGTATCCTCCTTTATCTTTGTTCTCACAACTCATACTGCCTCTTTCCTCAGGGAGATTCTGGGGGCCCCCTGGTCTGCAAGCTGAACAGTAGTACTTGGTTTCTGATGGGACTGTCTAGCTGGAGCCAGGCCTGCCACTACCCCATAAGTCCCAGCGTCTTCACCAGGATCACCTACTTCTCCAACTGGATCAGTGAGAAGCAGAGCACCTCGCCCAATCCCCATCCTTCATTGGCTCCTCCTCAGGAAAAACCTCCTATTTTGAGTGACTTCACTTCTCTGGGCATGGTCCACAAGCCCACCACCTACATAACCCTTGTGTCTTCACAGACCTTCCTTCTGCTGCTGATTTCCCTAAGGACACTGTGATGGACCCCATGGTGCCCCTCCTGCCCCTTCCCCCACAAACTTGTCTATGTTAGTTCCAATAGACTCTGCATTCTTCTTAACTCTGTCCATCTCTGAACTCACTTGTCCATCTGTGGATTGCTACAGGCCTGACAAAATAAAAATAGTCAAATAAGCTTCCTGCTCCTGTTTTGGACCTGTCTTCCCTCCACCCCCACACTACTGTCCTTCAAGCTCCTCAGCACAAGAAGATCTCCCTCCTCCCTGGACTGGGGGCAGGGAAGGACAGGGACACTCAGGGGGGTTTGGTGGCCATCCAGAGGTGAGCCACTAGACTTGGGGATTCTTCCTGAAGAGTTATCATGGCTTAGGGGCCAGAGTCTCACCTCATAGAGGAAGTAGCATGCCTTAGATTCCACAAAGAACTAATGTGGATGGGTCCTCCTAGAGTAGATGATGTGACATGAGCTGAAGGATATTCCAGGCCCACAGGTCACATAGGTTCCCTTGGAAAGGCTCTACTTGAGGTAGACTGTGAAGAGCTCTGGCCACCAGGCTAAAGTCTCAAGTCTCAGCTCAGCTGCGCTCTAAAGCTCTACTCTCTAACCCTGAGAAGTTAGCTCTCAGTCTATCCCCCTTATACCCATAGCTCTGTCTTTCCGCAGTCTCTCAAAGCCTAGCCTACCACCCCCTGGGGACTTGGCATAGCTTGAGGTCTGGCTGACTCTTGACTTGGGCCACCACTGAGCCCAATCCATGACCTGAGCTGCTCTCTACAAACTGAAAGGGTCCGTGGACAAAAGGACGAGACTGATACAAAGCGAAGGTCAAGCAAAGCTTTATTTCACACCAAGCATCGAGAATCAAACTGACCGGCCAGGGATGTCTCTTGCAAAGAGGCGACCCCTCCCAGTCTCACAGACTAACTTTTATAGAGTAAAGGCCATGTGGTTGAGCCTGGCCACACACAAGTGGCCAATTGAATTACAATTTACCCTATAATAGTTATTTGAACTAGCCTATCACTCTGGTCAGAATTGGCGCCCAAAAGGCAGGGCCCACATTCTTGGGTGGTTAGAGAGGTGCTTTCCTGATTGGATGTCTCCACCTGGCTTGGCTCATCCTTGGTGGGTAGGGAGGTAATACGTGTGTTTTCACTGATTGGATGTTTCCACCTGGCCGGGCATGTCCTTGTATCTGGGCTCTGTTATCTCTGCCCAGCCTGACATGTCCTGGTATCTGTGCTCCGTTATTGGGGCTATTTGGCTGTATTTCACCAGTTCTGTTTCTAAGCGCTTTCCTCTTGGGGGAAGGGGCAGGTTCAATCTAAGTTTACTGCATAAACAACAAAATGGCTCGCTCTGGCTAAGTAGGCCCTTACAAAACATGTCTGGGTCACAGAACCTTAACTAGTTAGCAGAATGCTCAGAAGGGTCTCACAACTGGAGACCACAAACCTGAATACTTGCTGATCAGGGGGCAGCCCCCAATCATTGCAGACCCTCTGTATCTACAGTGCCATCAGGTGTTCTGTGCAAATTCCTTCCACTCTTGTCCCTCAAACAGCCTAGACTCTCTCCAGAAGGTGAGAACAGGTCAAGTAACTGTTAGGTCCCCCAATAATGGGTCTGTGATTAAAGGAGTGAGACTGATATAAAGCAAAGGTCAAGCAAAGCTTTATTTCATGCCAAGCATCAAGAATCAAACTGACCAGCCTCTTACAGAGAGGGCAACCTCTCTCTGTTTCACAGACTAGCTTTTAAGGGCAAAGGCCATGTTGTTGGGCCTGGCCACACACAGGTGGCCAATGAAATTGTAACACACAGAGAAAGCTGCACAGTCATGCTAGGTGACCAATTGAATTACAATTTACCCTAGTAGATACTTGAATTAGCCTATCACCTTGGTTAGAATTGGCGCCCAAAGGTGCCCAGAGGGCGGGGCCCATACTCCTTGGTAACTAAGGAGACAGTAGGCATCCCCCACTGATCAGATGTCTACACCTAGCCTGACCCACGCTTGTATTTGGGCTTTGTTACCTGGGGCTGGTTTCCAGGACTTGTTTTTTAGTAAGTCCCCTGGGGGAAGAAGGGCAGGGACAGTTTAAGGGTTAAACAACAAGGTTATTGTTTAACCTGGATGGGAGTGTACTGGCTAAAATAAGTCCTTACAGTATCAGGCACATTGTCACCAGAATCTGGCTGGCTTTAAGCCCTCTGCTATTTATGCAAATGTTTCCTTCCCAGCTCAGCAGTATCTGTTAAGTGAGAAAAAAAATTCCCTCCCTGTTAGTAAACTCAGTTATGGTGCTCCATGACCGGGTTGTTGGGCCCTGAGGTAGGAGTCAGCGCTTAGTTCAGATTTGGAGCACTAGCCACCTGCTGCCCCTGGAACAGCCACTTTCCTCAACTCATGGTAACTGTATTGGTTTTCTCTCAAATAGAGACTTCTGTTTGGTCCATCAATAGCTATGCTTCTGTGTGAAGCATGGAATGGTGTGACTACTTGCTCCTCCACGAAGGGTCTTGGGACCCCTAACTCATAGATGAAAATTCATTTCTAGTCCACTCTGCAGATTTGCTAAATCACAGCCACACTCCAGCCTATTTCTCTGTTACCCACAGCCAGCTTCAGTGCTCAGTATTACTATTCAGGTTTGATCTCTTTTTACAGATATGGGCCTGAGGCCTAGCATGGTCAAGTAACTTGCCTGAGGTCATGTAGGTAGTAAATAGGAGAACAGAAATCCAACCCAGATCTCTTTAAGGACCTCAGAGGTCTTCCCTCTAACACAGTCACATCAAGGCCCTGTGTGACTTCCCTTCTCAGGCTACCTGTGAGAAGTACCATGAGAGGCTTGTCTGTCCCAAACATGGCCCTGGTCAGTGGCAAGGGAAGATCCCAAGTAACAAGAGTGATGTTAAGGTTCAGGTCAGGTCTGCAGGGCTGGTGAGTCTGCAGTTGAGGGAAAGGCTGAATGTGTCACTGCAGTGGGTTTCACCAGACCTGCCATCAGGAGATCCTAAGGGGCTACTGGCTCACATCCCCAAAGAAACTGTGGGTGAGAAGGGGAGGTGAGAGGAAAATCTGGAATCAGTGAGGAAACCTGGAGAAACTAAAGGTGATCCTGAAGTGTCCTGTAGCTGAGGGAAGAAGGTGGGGCAACGTGAGAATGGGCTTGAAGAAAGATTTTTACCTGTTCTGCTCTTTTCCCATCCCATACCCTATGACAAATGCTGTCTAATATTTCCCAGGTGCCAGTATGTTGCAGGGTGGCCATATCAACTAGTGTGTAGGTCCATACAGCCACCTTGAGTAAGAGCCTTCTGTGTCCCCACTTCTACCCTTCCTTGCAGGGTCCTCCATAATTTCTTCTAAGGACTTTAAACTTGAATTCTGGCTATAGGAGTTGCCTGGCAGGAGGCATTATGGAAGAGAAGTTAAGAGTGTCTTTGTGGTGCCTGGGATCCTCTGCTCTGAGGTCACCCTTCCTTTTCTTTGAACTCATCAGGACTGTAAGGACATATTTTATATTTTTATTTTAGCCAGAGGCTTCCATTGAGGTTAAACAATAACTTTGTTGTTTAACCCTTAAACAGTCCCTGCTCCCCTTCCCCCAGGGGACTTAAAAACAAGTCCTGGAAAACAGCTCCAGGTAACAAAGCCCAGATACAAGGGTGGGTCAGGCCAGGTGGAGACATCTGATCAGTGGGGGTGCATACTATTCAAAGGGTCCATAGACAAAAGGACAAGACTGATACGAAGCGAAGGTTAAGCAAAGCTTTATTTCACACCAATCATCGAGAATCAAACTGACTGGCCAGGGCCGTCTCTTGCAAAGAGGCGACCCCCCCCCCCCAGCCTCACAAACTAACTTTTATAGAGTAAAGGCCGTGTGGTTGAGCCAGGCTACACACAGGTGGCCATTACATTCTACCCCATAGTAGTTATTTGAACTAGCCTATTACCCTGGTCAGAATTGGCACCCAAAAGGTAGGGCCCACATTCTTGGGTGGTTAGGGAGGTGCTTTCCTGATTAGATGTCTTTACCTGGCCGAACATGTCCTTGGCGGGTAGGGAGGTAATACGTGTGCTTTCCCTTGATTGGACATTTCCATCTGGCCAGACACGTCCTTGAATCTGGACTCCGTTATCGGGGGCTATTTGGCCCTATTTCACCAATTCTGTTTCTAAGTGCTTTCCTCTTGGGGGAAGGGGCAGGTTCAATTTAAGTTTACTGCATAAACAACAAAATGGCTCGCTCTGGCTGAGTACACCCTTACACTATCTCCTAGCTACCAAGGTGATGGGCTAGTTTCCATGGCTACTGTGGGGTGAATTGTAATTCAATTAGCCACCTGTGTGTGGCCAGGCCCAACCACATGGCCTTTGCTCTATAAAGTTTGTCTGGAAAGCAGGGAGGGGTTGTCCTCTGTAAGGGACGTCCCAACCAGTCTGTTTGATGGTCAGTCTGATTCTTGATGCTTGGCATGAAATAAAGCTTTGCTTGACCTTTGCTTTGTATCAGTCTCGCTCCTTTAATCACGGACCCATTATTGGGGTACCCATTTTTGGGGGGACCTAACAAGGACTTCTGTCCTTCTCTGATGCACAGTACCAAATAGTGACAGATTAGCTGCTAACCCATTGGGAATGTGAGCACACATGCAAAAATTACTATATACCTGTGAAATATGAAGACTGCCTAAGACATACAACAGAATGAACATTACATATTATTTGAAATAAAAATAGTGGAAGAGACATACTCCAGAAAAGTAATAAACACAATAAATCTCTCCTTGTGGATATAGGAAAATATCACTAGCAATAAGACCCAAGAAAACCACAGGAAAGAACCAAGTCAAAATATTGCATATGAAAAATAGAATGGTTGAATTAAAGGGCACAATAGATTAGGTAAATAACAGGATAAACACAGATCAGAGAGGCGTGCAATTGCTATTTTCTGTGGACATTACAGAAGTATGGACTTTGGAGTTGCCACACTTATGGTAGGA